ACTCCGAGCGACTGCTCTGCATTACACGTAACTTACTTTGTAAAGCGACTCAGAAGTATGTTTGATAGCAAATGTACATTCTAAATTCCTACTTACATAAGGCGGCCATGCCTTTGTAAAAGTAAGGGACGTTCGGCAGGGAAATGGTAATGACTGCCAGGTGAAGAGTAAGTTGCTAATAAGGTATTATTACGTGCTCCTAATTCCCACTGGGATGTATGTATGTATATCTATACTAATTATATAAATTTGATTACTTGGGGAATGTTTGTAACGCTTTGGCCAAAAAAATACTGAACCGATTTAAAAAATGTTTGCTCTAAAACGATGCTTTTACGGAGGAAAATTTGATGGCAGACTTATTTTTTGCCTCAAGAGGTGGCGCTAGAGTCGAGATATTTAGATAATTTTTATATATGAACCGTTTTGTTACAAACTTAATGCTTATATTAACCGCACGATAAGAAATAACTTTGCAAAGACTTGACTGGCAAGGTGGCGCTGAAGCCATGTAGATAGCCTAGATACATCAACAAGTTACAGGAGCATGAAGAAGAAGTGTCTACTATCCAAGCGGCAGCATGTAATCTCGCTCAGAGTAAGTCTCAGTCAGGCAGCCCGGAAAGCTTTATACTCACACATATAGCTACAATGCAAATACCCTTACTGTTATCTGGGATCGAGATAGCCCATATTTATAGAACCCAATTAATTTATGTACATATGTAGATGCTTGGACGACTGGATATTGAGTGGAATTACAAAAGTGACGATTTAGCAAAGAAAGATCCTTCCAAGAATGAATACTATAAGTACGTATGTCGTTGTCCTCAATTGAACGATATTTATGAGATCACATGGCTCAACTCTCTCTTCCTTCGTTCAGTGCAACAGCGAGGATTATTTTCGTTACTAATTCAATTAGAATTTGTACGCAAAGCTCAAAAATGGCCTTTGGTGTAAAGCCGGGTATTTTTTCAAACTAAGAGATTCATTTCAAGTTTTTCCAAACTCAAGTCCTTGCTATCGAAAAAATCAGAGTAGTCTTTGCTACAGAAAGATCCTCATTAAATATCTATTGGATATGTGATTGTTTATGACTTCCGGCCTTAGAATTCAGAGCAACGATATGGCAGAGGATCTATGCCGCAACGAGAATCGCTCTTGCCAACAAGTGCTACTTTGGACTGAGTAGATCCCCTCTCTACGCACGAAAACCACACTATATAAGTATGTCAGTACGTAAGTAAGTCATGGACAATGAAAACCTCTGATGGGGCTACTCCTCGAACTGGTAACAGTGGAAGAGGAAGATCTTCTCTGTGTTGGAAAGACCACGTGGAGAAGGGCATGGCGTCGCATGGCATTTCCAATTGGGGTCCGTTGGCGCAGAAGAGCAACGACTGGCGTGCAGTTTTGAATTCGGCCAAAATAGCTAACGCGGTTACCGCGTCAATAAAGAAGAAGATGTCATAACACATAAGCCATATAGCCAGATTTCTGAACACTGTTAAACGTGGCTAAATGGCTAATGGATAGCGGCTAAAATGAGACTGGCTCACAAGACTCTAACGCCGCTGTAACTATGCGGAAGCGGAAGAAATCGTAAAGCATCTTTATGAAACGAATGAAGAATGAAGTGGCTGAGCAATAGTTTTTTTCGTCTAACAGAATCTAGCATAACATAAGAATATACCTACTTAGATTTTAGAACAATACGGGTTGGATCAACTAATTGGATAGGGGATCAACTAATTTAATTAATTTTTATTGCGTTGTCCGTTTAGGATTAGTCTGCCAGCTATTTCGTTTTCATAAATGGTGCCTTTTCCCGGCACCCAGAACTAGTGTTGCCGTTCAGGGGCGGCGAAACGCTCTGTGCCCGGGTGGGTAGTTATGCTAGTGGTGAGAGTATACAGGTAAAAAAAATTGTTTGCCGATCTAATTGAGAAGGTTAATAGATTTCGTTAGAAAAACTTATTGTTTCGTGTATAATACATTTATTTTTCATACATACCATGTACAATAGGGTGGTCCAAAAACAGTAAAGTCGGAATTGTAATGCTCTCACCATCTAGGATTTTTCTATATCGACAAAAGTATACCCCTGCTTTTTATTTTGAAATCAGAAAATATTTAGAGGTCGCTCAAAGCGCTCAAAGCTTTCCATGTATTTTTATATGGGAAAAACAACTTTTCGTAGAAATGGTATAAAATTCTTGAAAATCAATATTTTTCGATCGGAAAACTCTGGTTCTCTTCAGAATACTTTCAATAATAATACCCAATTATTTATTTAACCATTTTTTAATACAAACGATTTTTGATTTGTCTCCCCATTGCATTTTTCGGGGTTTTTGTGGGCTTTTGGCGGACCTATAAATTATAGTTGCGATGAAAAAATCGTTAAATAAACAATTGGGTATTATTATTGGGAATCTTCTGCAGATGAAAGTAATTCTATACTATTTTTACGAAAAGTGGTTTTTCCCCATATAAAATACGTGGAAAACTTTGGGCACGCATTTCTGAACATGCATTTTGCACCATCCTAATGTACATATGCATGTATATATTTCATTGAAAATTCAAAATTTTATTTCTGCAGTGAAAACACCACCATGCGTGTTGAAATAAAGTCGTTCATGAGTTCATGGATAAAGATGCAATATTGCTACATGGTTGAGCCGTTTTTGGTGCATTGTCGAGTGCAAATAATTTTTCACCTTACGCAAAACAGAAAAGCTCCTCTCGTAAGAGCATCAAGACCTTGGAGTTGTAACAAGTAATCTAATGAAGCTTACCAATTCAGGAACAAGTGCCACACACAATTTAACGCAAAAATTGCACAACATCTTTCACGGACCTAGGATTTTGCTCTGTACGCCTCATTATGCACAGATCCATATCTTTATCGCTATTGAGTTTACATTCGTCATAAAAAATTTTCAGGTGGGTAATTAAAAATCTCAGGTGGGCAGTACTACCCACCATATCTGCTTCTTTCGTCGCCCTGTTGCCGTTTTGATTCATTTACTTGAAAAGTGATACTTGTTTGTGCAAATTTTCGGAAGATACTTTATTTTTTCGCTCATTTCGTGAGATACTTAAATTTTCCGCGTAGTACAAATTATGATGGATTGATTTTTAATTTACTTTACTTGCTTCTTACATACATATGTAGCTCTATGACTTCAGTTTTTAAATTTATCCAATATATAAAAGAGTAATAGACTTTCATTACCAACTGTTGAGCATATAACGATCAAAATAAAGTCGACACTGAAGGTAGTTGCAGCTGTTTGGCATAATTTCCGACGAGTTCAACGTGGATAGTTAATTTGATAATTAACGTAAATGTTCCACAGTTAATAGTTTTGAGTACATATATATATTTTTGTGAAATCTATACATAATATTTTTGTTCGTCTTTATACAAGATTAAAAACAATAATCTCTATTTGGATAGACTGTCATTATATGTAAGATATAAATACTATTTCTTCATGTACGTACATATGTACATATGTGTATGAATGTGCATTACATAACTTTTAGGTTATTACTACAAAGTTATGTCTACAACCTCGAAATGCTGATGTTTATCTTCGGTCATTCTATGCCCGAGACGATTATCAAGCCTCGTCTATGGCAGAAACTTCAACTTGGAACAGTCGTATAGACCTTGGAGATCCGTCCAAAGGTTTGCAGTCAATGAAATAAAGCGCTTATGAGATATATACTTAACAGAATGTTTATACGAGCACCTAGGTTAGAATAAGAAAAGGTACGGGTTACCACCTGTTAAAAAATCCAATTCAATTAAGTTAAATAAATTGCTTAAATTGCCATGCGTTTTAATCGAAACGATATTAACAGCACGCCCTCTCACAAGCCACCTGTTTAAAATCAAATTCAACTATAATTAAGGGAATTAGATAGTTGAAAAGTATATCACAATATATGTAAGTGTCAGACGAAAGAGGAGGGTTGCCACATGTTTAAAAAGTTAAATTCAAATTATTTAATAAGTTAAATAAATCATTACAATATGGATATCAATCGAAATTGTTTTGAAAAGGTTTTATTTCTTAATGAATATATGTATATATGTATATATATGAATGGGGGTTGCCACCTGCCAAAAAGTCAAATTCAAGTTGAACTAAGAGAATGGGGTAATTGAAACATGTATCACAATGGGTGTTAATCGAAAGACGGGTTTTAGTTTTAGAATATCTTGTAGAGAATTGCCACCTGTTTGATAGGCCGAATTTGATTAAAATAGTTTTTGTAAAAAAAAATTTTTTCGAAAAGAAAACTTTATGAATTTGTTTATTAGTTTTGGAAAACGACTAAGTAGTTTTGACGAAAAGGGAAACCGCACTTTTCGTCTTCAAATGCCCTCAACATGCACAGACGTACATATCTGCATGCTTATTTCGCACTTTTTCGCAAATTAATTAACATGGCCATACTACACACAGATGTCAGTATTTATATATATATACAATGTATTCACACTATGGTGGTCCAAAAATACATGTGAAAAAGTATAGTCGGAATTTTTATGCGCCTTGAGCGACCTCTAAATATATTTTGATTTCAATATATACATTTTTTCGATACAGAACACTCCTAGGGAGTAAGAGCATTAAAATTCCGACTTTACTCATTTTGGATCACCCTAATGTATACATGTATGTATGTAGTACATTCTAAAATGCGTAAATTGTTTTTGATTGCATAGGTGCTGGAA